CTGTGCTACCATTTAAAGGAAATGAGGGGTTTCAAGAGGTGGAGATGAAGAGTAAACGTGTTCCAGGCATAGGGGAGAGCCATTGCAAAAGCAGGGAGACAGCCCAGGGTCACACAGCTAGTAAGGGTATGATGTCAGGCTTTATTTAACTCAGGGTGAGGAGTCTTCGTGACTCCAGGCCCAGGACTTTATCCGCTGCGCCACCCAGTGGCCAAAATGCACAATACATACACAGTGCATTGTAATGCACCACAGAATGTCAGGAGTAATTCATAGCCTGGAAAAGTAGTTTGGGTCCAATTACAAAAGGCTTTAAAAGCCAAACAAAGGAGTTTACATTTCATCCTAAAAGCAATATATAGCCACTGGAATTTGTTGAGGAGGGTGCTAGCTTGGTTAGATCAGTGCTTTAGGAAAAATGACTTTGGCAGCTGTTTGGAGAATAGATTGGAGTGAAGTGAGATTTGAGATAGAGAAACCAAGTAGGGGGTTATTGTGATAGGGGATGAACTAGGGTGGTGGCTGAATAGAGAGAAGAGAAAGTGATGCATGCAAAAGATGTTGTGGAGGTTAAAAAGACAGGATTTGGTCACTGACTTGGACATGTGGAGTGAGGAATAGTCTAGATGAGTCAAGGATCATGCCAGGGTTATGAAACTAAACAAGAAGAATGGTTGTGCCCTCAATAGAAATTGTGATGGGTTTGGAAGAAAGGTGTTGGGTTTTTTTGGGAAAAGATCAATGAGTAGAATTTTGCACAGTTTGAGATTATTACAGAACACCTGGTTTGAATGTCCAATAGGCAGTTGGAAATGTGCAACTGGTGTTCAGCTGAGAGACTGGGCTGGATATATGGATCTGGGAATCATCTGAAGAGAACCAAGGAGAGAGCCTTGGGGTACATCCACATCTATGGGACCTGATATGGATGATGAGCCAGCAAAGGAAACTGAGAAGAAATGTTCAGACAAATAGGAGGAGAATCAAGAGAGACCAGCGTCACAAAAACCCAGAGGGGAATGAGAATCCAGTGAGGAAAGGGTGGTCAGCAGAATCATACGCTGCAAAGAAATCAAGGAGAATGAAGATTGAAAAAAAGTCTGTCAGATCTGTCCATTAAGATCTCACTGATAACTCTGGAGACAGCAGTTTCAGTTGAGTGCTGAAGTCTTAAACCATATTGCAAAGGGTTGAAAAGAGAATGAGTGGAGAGGAAATGAAGGTAACAGGTATAGATAGCTTTTTCTAACAGTTTTGCTGGTAGAGGCTGTTAGTCAAAATAAAACACAGGAGACTCAGATATGCAAACATTTCAAAAAACAAAAAGAAAAGCCCACATTTTCCCTCCATTACCACTTCCATACTTGTCTGCCCAATTTTTGATGTCATCAGTGAGTGTAATCCCAGCTGTTAGAAGCTCTGAGTCCTGCTAATATAAGGGGAAAGTGTGCATTTAAAACTTGGGATATGCATGTACTTTGGAAATGTACATGTATTATGTCTTGTATATAGTTAATCAGATTGTCACTGCAGTATACTCCCAAGTGATGCTTTGTATGGTGCCATTTCTACTGCATAGATTGGAGTGTTAATGTACATTTGCTTATTTTAATTTCAAGTGATAAAGGTTGGTTACCCAGAATGATGGGAAAATCATCCTTGTGGTTTTAAAGCTTGTGTCTATACTGTATGTTTACAATCATTGGACTTGCTCCAGCTGACCTTTGCAAGAGACTGCAAAGAGTTTTGGCCTAGGGGAAGAATGTTATTTGAATTCCAAAGCATATTGATATGTGATGCTCTTCTCACTGGTGGAGGTCAATTCTTTGCACCTACATGAGGGGCAGGGCAAAGTTGGCAAGTTTAGTCTGTTCAGTTTCTTTAGCTCTCTTCAGTTTGAACTTAATAGTCTCTTGGGCTACTTCTGACTTTCAACTTGGAGAGAGAAGTTGCATGATGCCAACCTCTCACTTCAAGTTGCTGAAGGGAGAATAAGACTCAGGGAAGAAATTAACATAAGAGGAGCTAGTAGTGTCCATTTTGTCCCTATCTCCAGCTTGTTACACTAGAGACTTGGGGGAATTTCTCCTTGGGTGAAATCTTGGACTCTTTCTCGATTGAACTATTATCTCACTCCCATTGGGAGAGCTTCTTCACCTTGAATTGTCTGGCATATATCTTCCTGTGTATACTTAGTGTGATTTCTGTTTTGCTAATGATATGGATAAATTATTTTCTTTGCTTAAAACAAGCTCAGTATCCTGGCACTTTTTATTAGTTATCTTGGAGTAACTGAAGAGTAATAAATGAAAACTTAGTAACATATTGACTTCAATAAGAAAATGTAACACTTCTCAGCATCCATTAAGTGCTGTCCAGACTGCTTACTGAGTCACCTATTTTTCCTTGTGGTTTCCCTGCCTGTAGACCTAACTCGCCTTACTCATTCATTCATTCATTCATTCATTCATTCATTCATTCATTCATTTACTTATTCATTCATTCATTCATTCATTTGTCTATCTATTCATTCATTCATTTATTTGTCTATCTATCTATTCATTCATTCATTCATTTATTTATCTATCTACCTGCCTATTTATTTATTCATTCATGCACTTATTTATTTATTCATTCATTTATCTATCTATCTATCTATCTATCTATCTATCTATCTATCTATCTATCTATCTATCTATCTATTTATTTATTTATTTTGCCCTAGACTTGGTAATAAGATTAGTTGCAAGCTATCCTTGGAAACTGTAAGAACATGGAGTTTTTTGCTTGATGCAATGGAGATAAGATTATTCTACCTTCCCAAAATACGGTTCTGATATGAATCCACCATAGATAACATTCAAAGAGGTCCCATAAAAGGCCTTTCCATGTAACCAAGGGTTACATGAATATGAGTCAGACCATTGACTCTCCTCTCACGATGATTTCTTATTCTGAAGTGGAAGGTAGAACCTCTTATATTTTGAAAAATGAGGGAAACTTAAATCAAAAGTGAAATCTTTTATATTCACTTAAAACTTATCATTGGAAATATTTGCCAAAGACAAAAGATAATTCTTATCATCTGCCTCACAAACCCCTCTCTACCACACTTCTGTCTCAATCACCTTAGGCCCATCCTCTCAATAAAAATAAAAATAATCAATAATAAATAACATAAACCATTATTTTCATATAGCCAATTAGATTAGTGGAAGTTGTTAGCCTCTACAAATACAATGCTGCCCTTCCATTTTAAAAGTATCTTCTTGTTTTATCCAGAAAAACTTTGGGGGACAGGGTTGCCTTCTTCATTGACTTCCGTGTGAATATCAGCATCAATTGAGTCAATCTCTGCTTCTTTACCACCCTCCCCTCGCCATTCACCCTCCAAAACAAAGCTCAGGTCTAATCTGTTGTGATTGTGTGGATGGGAAAACAAAAGGAGGCAAGAAAGGTCTAAATTTAAAGTGCTGGAAAATCCAACATTTTATTGACTACATTTTGGTGACTACATAAACGCTGAAACATTTTAACACTGAAAAGCATGATGGCATCATCACTTGCTTTTTTTTCTTTTTTCTTTTTTTTTTCTTTTTTGCTTAGCAAACACAGCAGATGATATTGCACGGCATAAAGTGAGAACAGTAGCGAAGCTTAAAAAAAGGAAAGAAACCTTAATGCAGTACAGGAGATACCCATAAACAAACCAGAATAATGCCTAATGCATTATACTTTTTTTTCTACACACAAAAATACAGAAGAAGCATTGGACAGAGAGAGAGAGAGAGAGAGAGAGAGAGAGAGAGAGAGAGAGAGAGAGAGAGAAGAGATTGACAAAATATTAGCAATCAACTGTAATTGGGTACAATAATCACTTAGTCTGAAATGCAGATGCAACATATAAACTACTACTGCTTTCTAATAGACAAACAAAAAAAGACAGCAACATTTGTCTTTTATCAAAAAATCTTCTAAGCCCCTCATGGTTTTTATTTTTATTTTATTTTTTTTCATTGCTAAGGAAGAACTCCCTCTTGCTCTTGGAAGATTTTCTACCTCTACGGATCTTTTTTTTTGTAAATTTTTTTTACCTGATGATTGTCTTAGGCACCCTCCTTAATAATTAAACCATCAAGCTAACTTGAACATGGAAACCAAGACACAATATCAAACAATAGCTAAGGTCAAAGGTGTGTTGAGAATGGAAAAGTTCAAGAAAGGGAAAGGGAGAAATTCCCAAGGAACACAGACTAGTGGACTGGTTTCAGATTGGACGCCATTAGATATAGGAACACAACTATAGAAGCAAGTAAAAGACAATTTTTGAAAGTTTATTTTTTTTAATACTGTTGTTTTGTTTCAAATGCAAAACTAAAATGATCCCACAATGATGATGCAATAAATGCAGAACATACCACAAGATTCAAAAGGCTAAAGGAGAAACAGAAAACATAACTCTTAAGGGATACAGTTCTGTTCAGTGTTTCATTGCTGATGGTAAGACTAGTTAATAACTACCGCTTTTCTTTTTTCCTGGATTTTCTTTCTGTCATACATAAGTCACTGCACAACATTACAGTTTGTATTTAAAAGCAGATAATTAGTCAATGCCTACCAATGACAGACCATTGAATGATCCTGCATTTCAGAGCAGCTTTATTGCCCTATTTAAATACTTGACAAGTATAAAATATACCTAAGAAAATGTAACATTTGACCCAAAGTTTAAGCCCTCCCTTTCCTTTCCCACCCTAAACCCCCCATATTATGTCCCTGAAAATGAAAATAAGGTACACCTTGAACTTAACTATTGCGCCTGGAAAGAAAATATTTACATTGGTAATAAATCATGTGGATTGATGACATTCATTTCAAACAGAAATTATCACTCAAAACAGCGGGCATCATCTCCCCTGACAATGCCACTTGTCAGGTTTGTATAATTCTTTATGTATATGTGTGTGTATGTGTATATATATGTGTGTATATATATATATATATATATATATATACCCACACTGTGTGCATGTATGAACATACTCTGTGTGTGTGTGTGTATATCTGTATTTATTGGGCTGATGTAGCCCAAAACAGTGGCAAGCATCTGATAAATATCAATGGGGTCTGGTTGCAGTTTGTTGCTTCTAGTTTGGAAAAAGAAAATGGTGGGAGGACGAAGTATGGGGAAGGACAAACTTAATTTGGGGAAGTCATTATTCCTTCTATGCAGGGCCTCTGAAACTATTCCAATTTGGTAGTTGGGGAGATGGGGTGGTGAGGGGGGTTGGGGGGGAAGAGGATGTTTGGAAGATTAAGGGTAACAGGCTAGATAGGAACAGATATGGGAAAAAATTTTTCCTTTTTTAAAAATAAAATTTGCATCTGGGACTGAGAAATCATGTTCTGAGAGTCTCCTTTTTTCTCATAAGTGTTGCCTCAGAAATAGCGTTGGCTCAGTCATCTGTCATTAGTAGTGACTTTCTCTTTGGAGGCCCTGAGCCATGACATTATACATATAGAAGTGGAAATGTTCCCTCCAGCCTTTGAAGCCCTTCCGAAGCTTGGTAAAACTCAGAGATATTTCCAAATTCAAGTTAGCTTGTTTCTAGAGTTTTTACAACTCTTTCCTTTCCCATACCCGTGCGAATGGTAAATTTTTTAAAAAGTCAGCAAAGTATCTCACAAATGCCGGTGCTTTTAAACATCAAACAAGTTTTAAATTCTTTGGAAATGCAGGTCTTACCTGCAAAGTAATCTTTTCTTTAAAAAGACAAATAAATAAAGAAAAAACACACGAATAATGCTTTTCTTCTTTCTAAGTGACAAAAAGGACGATCTCGAAAACACTCATTTTGGCATGTACAAGTTTTTTGAAGGGGGGACGGGGGAAACCTGGCAGTGTTTACAACACACACTGAAGTGCCCGCTAAGACAAGGCTAAAGATACACCCTGCAGTTAAGAGAAGCTCTCTCCTTCAGCTTATCTTAGCATAAAGAACAAAAAAGATTGTAACATAAAGCTTTGGCCATTTCAAATCTACTATATACATTTTTTTAAAAAACGACACAGTCATAAATTAAAGTAGTGATTAAATAAGCTTATACAAAATGTAATTAAATTAAAAAATCACAGCACATTATAGAGGAAAAAACAGGAAGAGCCCAGTGTCACAAAAAAGATAATTTTTTTTTTACCCTGTGAAAAAATCAACTACTGAACACAAAATTTCTTAAGTAACTATTGAAATGAAAGTCATTTTTTTGTTTCTTTCTTGCATTTTTACACAATCTTTAACCCACCTGGGGAACATTTCCAGAAATTAAAAGTCTTCCTTGAGCATCCTAGGGCAGTTCTGCCAACCAAAAAGCAAAACAAAACAAAACCCAACCAACCCCAAACTGAAGGGAACAAATCTTCAGTGATACATACTACAAAATAAATAAGAATTATAAAGATTTTTAAGTAATCTTAACAATTATCAAACTAGTAAGTTTTGCCTTATCACATAGACTCTCTATACAACATGACCCTAAAGCTTCATTACTATGAGGTATTTGGAAGAAATTGGTAAAAGTGATGCACGGCCTGCCTGGTGGAGGGACTCAAACTGTGGTGGGAGGGGAGAGAGGAGAAGGAGCTTTGGTTCATCAGCAAGAAAGTGGAAAAAAAAAGTTTTCCTTTGGTATCAAAGAAAGTTTCATTGCATGGTTGCACGGAAAAAGCACCACGGTGAATAATTATTCCTTTTTTTTTTTTTCCATTAGTGGCCTTTCTAAGAGGCTGAGGTATTCAAAGAGTATAAGGTGAGAGAGGTCAACAGCGGTTTAACACTTTGGTTCAAGCAAGGCACTCGTCCTATGAGTTTACAAAGTTTGCAACGTGTTTGCCTAAAGATTTATTAAGTAGTATTAGCAGTAGTAAGAGTAGTATTTCCTAATGTCATTATTTATTATTATTATTATTATTACCATTATTATTATCAATAATGAAGACAAGTTTATACACTGAGTGAAGATTGAGAAAGGGGAAAAGAGGTGGGGGAAGGGAAAGGGGCTGAGTCCCCTTTGCAGACCAAGGCCGTGCATGAAAAAATCTTTGGTATTCTTTGGTATCATCAATGTGATTAAAATCACCAGTGGAAATCGAGTGAGGTAGCGTCTTTGGTTCACACTATAAATAGTAGATTTTTACACATTTATTTTTTACATTTGTGGAAGTAGCTATTTCTTACCTTTTGCTTCTTTGTCCTTCATATTTAGGAAATAGTTACCAGATGTATTATAAAGCTAACCACACCACAATAATAACCCAGAAGGCCCAACAAGTCTCAAAATAGCCTCTGGCCTTTGAATGCACCCTAAACTTGGCTTGATAGAAAAGGGAGAAGTGCTTTCTCTTTGTTTGCTAAATGCATAGTTTTCATCCTTTATGTACAAAGGGAGGACCTTTCCAGGGAAAAATGCCTTTACAATTCACGTGAGAAGTGTCCTAGAACTCTTTGGTATAGTACGGTTTGCATTTAATCTGTGAAGACACCTGGGATAGCGTTGGGAGTGGGAAGAGTCCCAAAGTAACACAGTTTTTTTCTTTTTTTTCTGGCAAAGGAATCACAGTGCTCTTGGTTGGGTGCAGTGAATGACATGGGTCAGTTAGAATTTCTGGATTCCACCACACCCTTTCTTTGGTCTTTAGGGTCTATTCCAGCTGCATTCTGAGATTGAATCCCTGACATCCAGAATTATTTTACCTGAACTCTGATTAAAGCTTTGCCTCCTATTCTTTGGTACCTGCTTCCTTCCCCATACCATCATTACTCCCACCCTCCTGCTTAGCTCCTTTCAGGAAATATTTCCTGTGGTGATAGGACCTGGATGATTGATGGATGAAATCAGACTAACTTCAGTTTCACCAAAAAAAAAAGTTAAAGATTATTTGGAGTACAGTGTGGAAACCAACAAAATATGAAGATTTGTTTTTTAGTTGAATTTTACTTAGGGTAAGAAATGATCAGAACTTGAGTGAACTAACGTCATGTTGCTTGCTTTGATCAATGTATTAGGTTGAAATCCTGAGACATAAAATAATGCTACACTAAGCAGAAATGGTGACATTCCTTTTGTCATCATGTGACATTTAGGCGGTAAGGAAGATGAAGCCTGTGACTATGAGGTGATTAGCATATTGCTTGTGAAGAGGTGGGGCTTCTAAAAATTAAAGGTCTTAAATATGCATAACAGGTAAGTAAAAAATTATTTTTCAGGTTGTAGTTTGTGCATCTGTTTATGTGAAAATATATCTCTAGGTCCTGAAATTGCATATTGGGTGCAAATTCAATGCTGGTATGAAAATTCTCTTTGGTTTCAGCAAATAGGTTAATTGATTATTTTTCAAAAGACATTATGATGGGAAGTACTTAAAATAAAATGGTGACATAACTGGGGGCTGTGTCTACATCTAAAACAACTGGTTGAAAAGTTTGAAAAAAACCGTATTCAGAGTGGTCATTTGGGAATCACGCAATAACAACATCAACAAAAATAAAACCTGGTCGCTTGAATTCAACCAGTTTTTTTGGTGGGCTTAAAAAAAATTACTGGAATTAAGTAAAATCATCTATGTGTGTGCAGACATAGCTCGAAGTTCCCTGAATTTTATATTCTCATGTTTGGAATGAATAAGGCTTCCCCCTCCCAACATGATAAATAAGTTATATTGCAGGTTTTCCTTCTGGAGAGAGCAAACATCAACAGGTTTATTTCCTTTGATTCATGCTGAATTGACAATACTGAATTTCTAGGAAACTTGAAGGTATATAATTTTAAAAGTTTGTTTAAATGACTGGACTGTAGTTGTGCCTTTTTTTTTTTTTAAGAAAGCTGTAATTCGGGATAAAGTGGAAAATCCTAAAATAAAAATACCTTGAGGCAACAGCACTGGAGATTTCATAAAAGAGTGTTAGTTTCTTTTTCACATTCAACATTGATCTCAGGAGGAGGGATGGAATTAATGTGTTGTGGCTGAGTTTCACCTTTTCTAGGTTTCTGTCAGATAATTAAAGAAGTTGCTCAAATTTGGTCCTAAGGAGCTAGGTAGTACGTTGTAACTATTTAATTTCCTTATCTTTAGCATTTTTTATGAGATTTGAATGCGGTACTTGTCATTGGGACAATGCTTAGCTTCATATTTTCAAGCACAGAAGGTAATTAGGGAGAGCCGGTTTTTAGCCTAATGATGAAAATGGTAAACCTGCAGTTGTGGTTTGAATTGAAGGAATTTTTTACCTGAATCTCCATAGTTCTTTAAAGGAGAGGAAATGATTCACTGGTATCCCACCAGTGCATCATCATTATCTGATTTTGTTGTCTCTTTTATTACTTAGTGATCTAAAAAAATCTCATGGTTGTATATTGCCCCAGCTCTGTGAGTTGAGCAAAATGGAAAAAATTTTGTCTTGTGTTTAGAAGGTCACATTGAGTGCTCTTTTTTATCTGCCCCCTTTAAAATGAAGTGGAATCTATGCATGCAATATCCAGCTTGATGTAGTAGCAAGAAAGAACGTAGTACACCATGGAGGTTGTGCTTAGTGATGCAAAGACTATAAGAACTACAGAGTGGAAAGTCTACTCTTCTTTTGGACCTTTTTCTATGCACTATCAACAATCCTCCCAATTCAAGGTTGAATCATCCATTGTCTCTTGACACCCAAATCTGGCTGTGCAATCATTTTGATTCACTTGTTTAGGTGGTTAGAAATACTGGATAGGTTATTTTTAGCAAATGTTTTCCATTGTATAGCTTTCTTAAGTGCCTCCATTTTTTCTCTTTAGTCTTTTTTGGTTGTTTGTTTTTAAAAGCATTTTGGCATCTAATGATTCAAAATAATAGGTCAAATTTCCTAATTTGATGATGTGGGCATCTACCAAAAAAAAAAAAAGGATTTTACTGATGCTGCTTCGACAATTTCATGGTGTTAAGAGTAGGTTCAGAATGACCAGTAGGGAAATAATTTGGAAGGAATAAAATTAGATTCTTTTTTTTTTTTATCTATCAGTGGATTGTTGGGCTCTGTCTGGGGTTCCAGTCAAGTGATGGTTATGGAACTTGAATGGGCTTGTGTCAACTGAATGGAAGGACACACTCATGGCATCAACCTTTGTGATGGGATATTAGTTGCTTCCCTGAAGCTACATTCTTTCTTGCCAGTTCAGAAAACTAATGTTTCAAATGCTTCAAGAATCCTAAATAACAATCATGATTATATGTGTACTGTATTATACAGTTTAGGTCAGTTCATACGTATAACTTTACATAGTATTTTGTGTAAAAATAGCTTTGGAATATTAAAATCATTGCAATAAAATACCTGCACTATAATATTAAATGTGTTCTTTGGTACCTAGGTGATTTTTTTAAATGGATGGAATCTTGTTTCATTTTTTAAAAAATATCTGAACATTCCTTAACAAACAAAGAGAATGCACTGGTTTAGGAGTCATTCAAATTTTCTTTGCTGGGTTTGAATCTGCATTTAGGTTATAGGCCTGGCAGGTTCAAACAGTAGAAGAGCGAAATCCCACTTCTGTTCAAATGAACTCAGACAACTCCACACCATGCTGGCTGTACTCCACGGCACATCCCTTCCTGAAGACCAGACCTGCCTAAGTCACTAACCATTAGTGGTGGGTATGTGTGGGTGGGTGTGTGCGCACACAGTACTGAGACACCATACACCTTCGTGGTGTGGTAGAAGAGATGAAGGAGTCAGATCTGAAAAGATGTCCATTCAATGGCTAAAAATCACTATGCTTCAAACCACTCAACGGCCAAGCACAGCGAGAATGATCATGGATGGACGGTGTAAGACCCAGCAGTTCTCTTGCTCATAACTTCCTTTGTCAAGTCATCACCCTGCTGAAGTGTGTGTCTCAGAACAAAGTCAGGATGCAGGTGAGTTCAGTCTTTGGTTTCTTTGGACTATAAATAACTTTTTTTTTTCAAATAATTCTAAGTATAAACCTGCTATCTTGAAGTCCTGGTCTTTTTTTTTTTCTTAGATTTTTATTTAAAGCTTTTCCACCGAGGTTTTAGTTTGTGGTTATTTCCTCATGCTTTGGTACAAGTGCTTGATGAAGAAGAGGAATTGCTTGAATTGGTGCTGCCCTCGTCTTGCCACTTATCCAGACTTCTCCTCCTTGCATTCATGAAAAAGTTGCTGACGGTGCTCAGCTCCAACCCGAGCTGCTGGGAAATGGTGATTTGCAATTCTTTGGATGGACGCTTATTTTCTTTGAATATTGCATGTAGAGTTCGACGCTGGACATCTGTGAAGACCAACCTAGGCTTTTTGGGTGTGTTCCCTCTATCCTTCCCATGTTCTTGCTCTTTCCTTTTGCATGCTGCAATAAAACACATAGTTATGTTAGAATGTTGCCTAGAAAAATATGGAGGCCCTAAGGAGGGGCTAATTAAATTGTCTAACTGCATGCATCAATTAATGCAACAATTTTATCATAATTTTGGTTTGAAATAAATTTTTTTCTTATCTCTATTTTCTTTGCCTTATGGATAAAAAAAATATAGTACGTCAAATGATTCAGTTTGGTTCCTCTTGGTTTTCTTAAATTGTAGTCCTTTTAGTGTTTATTATTTATTACTTACTGATGTAGAGATTTTACATAAGAGCAATTGGGGGAGGGGGGAAGGAAGAAGAAGACTGAGAAAAAATAGCTTAGCTTTAGGCCCTCAAAAAGTTTATAGTATAATTGGGTTAGATAAACAGAAATTGGGTGTTTGAGTTAAGAATAAAAATTTAAAAAGCTGGCCTCTCCACCTCAATTTATTTTCTGTTTCTGTTATTTCACAGTAAGAAAATATTGTATTGGACTTCCATTGTATGAATCAAACAATGGAATTAACTGCTACATAGGACCAGGAACACAGTTCCTCAAAGTCATCAGTCCCTCCCTTTTCTTTCACTGTCCCCAAGCTGTCTAGGGCTTATCAGTGTGTCAAGGTTTGCACTACTAGGTTTATACCCCAAGGTGATTAATGACAGCAAGAAAAGAAGATAAAGCATAAAAATATTCATAGCAGCACTATTTGTAATAGGAAAATCCTAGAACCCAAACAGATATCCAATGGTTGGGGGAATGACTGAACAAACCATAGACTATTAAAGTAATGGAATAAATATGACTGCACCATAAAAAATGATAGATCCGAAGAACTCATTGAAACATAACACCTAAAACATCGAAAAGCTTTAATAAAGTTATGTAGAGTGAAGAAAGCAGAATCAACAGAGAACAACATATATAATCTATGACAATGTTAATAAAGACATGGGGCAGCTAGGTGGTGCAGTGGATAGAGTACTGGCCCTGAAGTCAGGAGGACCCAAGTTCAAATCCGACCTCAGACCAAACACTTGCCACTTTCTAGCTGCGTAACCCTGGGCAAGTCACTTAACCCCAATTGCCTAAAACCCCCCCCCCAAAACCCCCCCAAACAATAAAGACAAGGCAATCAAATACAACCCCACTACAACCAACAATGTTGGTACCACATTATCAAAATTAAAAGCATTCACCTTTCCTTTTTATTAGCAATCAGTAAATTACAACAGCACAAAGTGATGTGTATTCTCAGTCACAATCTTGCTATTTCTGGGTGATGTACTTTGCAAGGGGTGGTGGAAGAAGTTGAGCAAAAGGAACCTAGGAGCAGTAGAAGAAAAATGACAAGGGGAAGGAGAAAGAGAAGGACTTCAGCTGAAGAAGGAAATTAGTAAGACAAGAAAAAAAAAAAGATCAGCATGGCTGCCAAGGTGCCAAACTGATGAGAAGGTGCCAACAAGGTGAGAAGATACAGAGCAGATGAGGTGAGTGGTTCAAGGCAGCTGAGAACATGAGGAACTAGTAAGAGGAACAAAGGACAGAGAATTTAGCAATCATAAAAATCAAGGAGACCTCTGACCCAGATCACAAGGTCACAGAGCAAGGTTTGCTGTGATCTAACATAGAGTGTTCCATGTTTGTCTTTCTACCACTGCCAAGTAATTGTTATTATTATTTTTTTTTTTGCCTAGGCAATGGGGTTAAGTGACTTGCCTTGGGTCACACAGCTAGTAAGTGTCAAGTGTCTGAGGCCAGATTTGAACTCAGGTCCTCCTGACTTCAGGGCCGGTGCTCTATCCACTGCACCACCTAGCTGCCCCCAGCAATTCATTTATTCAAAGGGAATTGCTCTCCGTATTTTCTCTGTTACCTCCCCCTAGCACAGGGTATCTTAATGAACAAGTTGCTATTCTGCAAAACACTATTGCTGATGGGGAGAGGGGTGGAATCCCCTCTCCCTCTCATTCCCCTGAACTCTGAAAGGGGCACATGGGAAAAGGCTTCTTCTGTGGCTGGCCCTCAAATGCCAGGGATGACTCCCTCTGCACTGACACAACTTGGCTTGGAGTTGGTCTCAAGCTCACTTTTTAAAGGCCATGAGCAATGCTGTTTTCCTTCCTCTAGCCAGCGGCTGACACATACTGTGCATATGACCTGGGCAAGGCAGCTGGTTTCTTAGTGACTCAGGCTCTAAGCCTATCTTACTTTAAGACTATCAATTGCAGAACAGTTGCCTTTCTGCTTTCTTAGAGGGAGTTTTCTTACCAGGAATTTCCTATATCAAAGATAGTACAGTTCTAGGCTCTCTTTCTCTCTCATTTGTTTTCTAAATATAAAAACCCAGCTTGTAAGTCTGGACACCTTAGTTCTAAAACTGGCTCTGACATGAAATAGCTATTATGTCCTTGGGCAAATAACTTTACCTCACTGGGCCTCCATTTATACATTTGTGAAATGAGATTATTGAACTAAATATTCTCTAAGGTCTCTCCTAGGACTAATATTCTATAATTCTCTTTATAATTTACCAGGTTAGCACTTTTTATATGTCTTTTCTTCTTCTTCTATCTTTCTCCCTCCTTCCTTCCTTCCTCCTTTCCTTCCTCTTTGCCTCCCTCTCTCTCCTCACTTTTCTCCCTGCCTACCTTCTTCTCTCTTTCTCTAGTTCCCCATATCTCCTTTTCTTCCTTCCCTCTCTCCCTCCCTCTCTGCCTCCCACTCTTCCACTCTCCTCGCCTTCCCCTTCTCTCCTTCTTTTCTTCTTTCTCTCTCTTCCTTCCTCCTTCCTTCCCTTCCTTCCTTTTTTCCTGAACTTATTGTAAGGCACAATATGCCAAGTGGTATGGTTTGGAACAATCCAATTTAGCTCTTAGAAAGGTAAATCTGATGTGATCATTAGCATCAGAGAACCATCTTTTCTTTTAAGGCCAAATGAAATTTACCAAGATTTTTAAGGAATCTCTTTCAATATATTTCATAATCCCTTGAGCTTTTATTTCTTGTAGCCTCCTCTCATTGCCCCAGATTAGCTTTCATTTGAAGGATGATTAAAGAAAAAGGCTGCAAGCTGGGACTATGTGTCTTTCAGTTTGGGGTAATTTTGTGGTTGAGAGTCTGATACCTTTTCATTCTTCTGTTTGTTTTCTTCCCTGTCCACCCTTTTAAAAGGCTTTTCCTGATTGAAATCTATGGCAAATCTGGCTGGTTGTGACAGCTTCCCAGGTTACAGTACTGAGACTGTCAAATTCCACCTCAGTTAATTCCAACTCAACAGCATAGAGTTTTTTTCAGCTCTAAATACGTGTGCTAAAATGGCACAGTGTCGTTCTCTACTGTTCTGATAACCCTGTCAAGTTTAAAGGGTTATGAAAAAAGCTTGTGAGAGTACCTGGCCATGGACAATGCCATACTTCAAGACTTTGGACCACTTACTCTCAGGGACTTAATATATTTACTGAGACTAATTTTTCTACTAAAGCCACAGGATAGTATGTTTCAAGTGCTCCTTCTCCCATTAGGGGCATATTTACATTAATAGATTTATTTGTTAGTATGGATGTTACCATAGTCTTCCTCTTGGGCTTATTCTATGTTGAAACAAGCTATTAGATCAACTTCAGAATCTTTGGGGCTAAAATTTTACTTTAATGCTCTTTATTTTATTGAGCATTTTGTAAAGTCAGGGACAGAACATAAAGATACTGTGAGATAGCAGATTTTGCACTTGGGATCTCTTGAATTCTAATCTTGGTTTAGTCACTAACTTCTGTGCTAGTGGGTAGGCTATTTGATAACTTTTCTTTAGTTTTACAAACAGAGACACAACTCACCTCAATTTTTATCTTGGGGCACTTGTGAGGATAAGAAAATCAAAAGAAAAATGGAATGATACAGACATAATATATCTTGTCTACTTGCATTTTCCTCTCCACCCATATTCTTATTCCCAAATGTATACATGAGGCAGGAGTGGGGTCATGAGTATTATAGAATATCAAGTTTGTGGGTACTCCTGCAGTATCTGCAGTCATCCATCCTCATTCATCTTCATTAATCTTTTAGATTCTCATCTCCTTTTCCTAAGAATAATGATACATTCCAAGGGGGCACAGCAAATAGTAAAAATTTATTGGGATTTAGATATTTTAAAGCTCCCTATTTCCTTTAAATAGTGTTGCTATGGTGTAAATGAAACAAAAAAATGCACAGAAAAGATCAGAAGAAAGTTCAGAAGGGGACAGACAAGTATTGGTACTTTCATATTAAATTTAATATGTACTCAAAGAAAATAAGCTGTATGTAGTGAATATTCATGGATTCATATACAATCTTTTCCCCTTTATTCCTTGTATATGGAAATGTCTGTGTAAGGGAGTGGGATTACTAGGCACCTCCTCCCCACCACTGCTCAGACGATGTAGTTACAGAATGTTAAAACACACGATGAGATTTTAATGTGATAAAAAGTATATTATATGGTGATCCCTTTATGATGTTCAAATAATACCTTCCTGATTGAGTCAAAAAGAGAATGAAATGGGCTGAGCACACAAATTAGCCATGCCCCTGGAGACTTTAAGCCCTGGACAAATTTCAGCAGTAGGGAAGATTGCAAGCCAGTAACTGCCTGTGGAGGAGACACCCTTGTTGGGGGTGGCGGTGGGGTTAAGGATTGAATTTCTGTCTCCTTCCTCCATATGACACGTCACTTTGAAAAGGAGCTTTTGCAACAGTAGGAGTCATTACATACATCAGAGAATAAAGAAAAATACTCCAGACAGACGCAGTTACAAATAGTCAGTCACATACAGAGAGGAAGGAAGTAGCTTCAAAGAGTAGCGAAGAAAGTCAGATTATAGAGAGGAGCAAGTCCTAAAAACCTGCCCAACAGAAATGCTAATCACAAAGGTAGCTTTGTGAGTGCTCTATGAAGACAGAAAAGGCTTCCAAGCTCTGAAGTCCCAGGAGCTATAAATTGCTTTGCCACATCCTATTTTCAT